TTCAGGCTCTTTCGATTTTGCCCAAGAGCTCATTCGATATTCGTCATTTCAGGACGATGTCCAACATGGCACGAGTTCTTCGAAAGAATGCTTTTCCCGTCATCCACCAGCTTTCCGTAGAAATTTATTCAACATTCCACGTTATCGTAATTCCCTCGTTTTCTTTAACCAATTCAGGCTCTTTCGATTCTGCCCAAGAGCTCATTCGATATTCGTCAGGGTGCCTGTTCGACGAACTTTTCATGGTTTTCTTCATCGTTATATTCAGTTTTCTTCTCCTCCGTTAGCTATTCGCCGTAATCCCCGTTCGCCATTGAATTTCAGTTAAAAATTCCTCTACCGTAGAGGAAGGAGAATGTACCCTTTACGTCAGTAGCTCGGTCGATCCATTGAGTGCCGTGAATATGATATTGTTCGATGGCACTGCCAGACAAGTCAATTTCGTTCCATAATGCCGACTACGTACGTTGAATTTCCGGCATTCTTCCATTCAGCGTTTCTTGATTTTGTTTTATGTAAACGTTTCGATACGGTTTCGCCGTGCGATTATGTATGCCAAACGGGACTAAACACGTTGAAAGAACACGTTTTTCAACTTCGTTATTAATTTCCTTTTAAGTATGTTTGGGGAATATATTAAAATAGACAGTATTTATTAACCCTCTTTGAGCCAAATATTTTTTCCTCCAGACAATTTGGCATTCACTTTGATATTTTCGGTATCGTCAATATAAATGTTAAATATAAAATAATTTATTTTATTGGGTTATCCAGAAAGTTCGTGCCAATTTTTAAGAAAAATACAAAGGCAGGTTTGAATTTTGATTCGTGTATTTATTGAATTATATAGATACGATTTTGTTCCACGACCTTTCCACCTTTTAAGGGATGCACCCATGTTAATTGTTTTCAACCATTCCAATATAAACAGACGTGTACCACCTACCAAAAATCGGCACGGACTTTCCAGACAAACTAATACTAACAAAATAATTTCATTCTATTAATACAAATCATAAAAGTATCGGTACACTTTATTTTATTTTTGCTGTATGACCTGGAGTAATTAGATCATTTACAAGAATAATTATTCGAATGGAACTAGAAGCACCAGAGCAAATCAGTGCATTGTGCATTTACTTTAATATCTTCGGTTGATGGTACTACGAACCAATATTATTTTCGGTATCGTCAATATAAATTTTAAATATGAAATCATTTATTTTACTAACGAAATGATTTTATTCTATTAATACAAATCATAAAAATATTGGTACACTTTATTTTATTTTTGCTGGATGACCTGGAGTAATTAGATCATTTACAAGAATAGTTATTCGAATGGAACTAGGAGCCAGGAATATGAATTAATAATGACCAAATTTATTTTACGATCATCGATATTGTTATTGGGTATCAGAGACATTATACAATTAATACGTATGTGTTATCTTGTGAAGGAACTAAAATTATTTGGTAAACTGTCGATATATATGACCTGGAAGTTACACGGGCCCATAGAGGGCATTTAAATATTAACTATTAACTATATTTAACTATTTAACGCTTTTTGGGGAAACTCTAGATGAAATCTTATGTAAGAAAGGGGAGGGTCTTTACGTAAGGATAGGGAGGTAGAGCTAACAATTGCCAAAATCGTCCTTACGTAAATAAACCTTTGACTGCGAAGAGCGTAAATACATGCCCTCGAGAAATGGGCTCAAAGCAATGTTTGTATTCGTTAAATCGATATTTTTAAAAATATCAGCTTATAGGGGATGATGAAACGGAACTTTTTTATAGTTACAGTTTACTCATAGGATGCTTAGTTTCGAAAATAAAAATTCAAAAGGTAGAAGTTCGTTGCAAAAATTGTATTTCAGGGAAAAGGTCTTCCAAGTTTTCAATTTTTATCCCTGAAACTAAACGTCGTCTGAATAAACTCTAAATATAAAAACAATCCGTCTAATCATTCGCTATACGCTGATATTTTTTTTAAATTCATACCTCTACGCCCGTTAGAATTTCCAGCAAAAATTGTTCCGCAGTCAAAGGGTTAATGAGCAGCCTTTAATCGAATATTACATTTTTGAAAGGCAACGATTAGGTATCATTCGTTAAATTTGGTAAATTTTTAATTGATTCTCGATTACTTAAAGATAGCGCACGTATGCTAGCTTTTTGTTCAGGAGTGTATCTTTTATGAAACGACATATCTAGGGTGGCAGGCACGAGCGACCTTACGCTTATTGTCAGTTCCGTTCCGCCTGCGCAACAAGTTTCTCTCTGGGACTTAAAATCGTTGTAGCACGCGTTCTCAGGAATAGCTGCGTCACCGAAGTATCCGCTTCGTCGAAGAATCCACGTCGAACTTCTTTCCTCTTCTCGAAGTCGATTGAAGTAAACGAGAAAATCAACGGCTTGTAACTTTTTTCCTTTCTTGGCAGCTTGTTGATCGGAAGCGATCCTCGCAGGAGAGCTTCAAATGTTTTTTCGACTCGATGAATAATAATCGTTAAATTGGTGATTAATCCATCGATTCGTCAATCGCGTGCGAGATATTAATTAATTAATGTTAATTATTTGAGGGAGACGAAGCAAATGTGTTATACGAGAATTTGCAGAACAATCACATATATTAGATTGTCCCAAAAGTTTCTTTCGTGAGTTGCATTCAATTATTTTCTGTGGCAGTGTTTATATAAATAGACAATCTATTTTCTTAGACATTGATGCTGTTACAGTAATGGAGCGAAATAAATTGTATACAATTTTGTAATGTAATATAAAACATAAAATATCGTATATGTATTAATTATTAATAAAACGAAAGAAACTTTTGGGACAACCTAATATTTATTTTGAATTAAGTTTATTCGTTGCTGAATTCATTATGACTAGACTGCGAAATTTATGCATTTATGTCGTATAGTAATATTGAAAACATACAGAAAATATATATCGTATATGTTGAATGTATTTTACCATTAATATAATAATATTTTTATTTTGCGCAAGTACATCTACCATTTGGTTATGTTTAGCATTTGTTTGTTATATTAGTTTGTATCGTAAATGTATAACATCCGTAGTCTAATTGTGACCATTATAAATTTACGTCGACGTTTCGATGCTACCTTTGGAGTTCGTCTCAAAAATCTTAAAAATAAAAACGTAAACTAGGTAATAAAATAATTTATTATTAGTAAATATGTAAGCTACATGTGTGTAATTGTCGTAGCGTATAGAGTATTAGCTCTATATTTGTATTAACTACGCACAATGAATGTAATGGAATCGTTTGTTAGGAATTTTGTTCGAGGACGATTTTATCACAATTATTTTAAATATACTTACTTTTGGGGTTTACTTCTAAAATCTTAAAAGGAAAGGAAACGAGGTAAATATTTTATGATTAGTAAATATACAGGGTACGCGATTGTATAGAGTATAGAGTATAGAATATTGACCATGCAATTGTACCAATCACAGATACTCTGGGAGAATGTCCCAGTCTGACCACTGTCGGACCAATCTCCTTATCATCGTTACTCTTTGTTCCTTCGAGTGAAAAAATATTCTTCGCGTACTTACCACAATTTACTTGGGATTCGATAAAAATTGAATTAGAAAGGTATAATATACAACTGAATTCTACTAATCATAATGATAGCCATCGATTTATTTGTAGATATAAAAATTTATCTAAACATAAACCGGCGCATTGCATATTGTGAATTAAAGGTTTGCGTAAAGAGACGAACGCCTCCGTTGTTTTTACATAAAACGTAATATTTTTATAACGTAATATATAATGTTTTATGTAAAAACAACGTAGGTATTCGTCTCTATACGCAAACCTTTAATTCATAATATGCAATGTCCCGGTTTATAATTAGATAAACTTTTATACCGCGAATAGATCGAATAAGATTTTTAGAACGTAGTATATAATTATATATACTCTCAGCTGCAACGTTCTTACGTCATATTACTGCCAAATTATTCGTAATATTTTACATCACCGATGATCGCGAAAAATCTTGTGGATATTCGACATTTGTTATTTTATGAAATTAATCGCTCTTTATTAAAGAAACAGTCTGATTCTGCTTCACTCCGCGTACTTTAGATAAATGCTATTCCCGGCACGGTAGACATTGGCATGTATATTTCTGGTTACAGTTGGACAAGCTAAAAGATACGATCGACGCATTTCACCATCCGTTACGTCGAGGTATTTCATTGTCAGACCGAAATCATTATCAAAATCGACCGACTGTAAAACAATGGAGTCGTCAACCTGTCGATAGCGAATCTTTCGCTCGATTCGGGTAAGACGCTTAGAACCAAAGAAAGTATTTCGATACATAAAACTGGAATCCTTCTCTGGTATTACCTGAACGTAATACCGTGCCAACGTCACCGACCACGATTCGTAGCGCGCACCGTACATTTCGTGATAAGCTGAAATCACTGTTTCGGTTCTGTGTTTTCGAAAATACGTGTGTCATATAAATTTTGGGACAAAGTGCCTGCACTCGTGTGTATAATCGACGACAGGGTGAAACCACCCCCCACCCTAGTTAACCACCCACGGAATTCCAGTAATCGGGCTACCGTCCCCCCTTCCCACCCCACCGCCCTCACCCGTTTCGCTCCCGTTCCCCTCGTTTTTCAAGGCCCCTTCCCCTCCGCCTACCCCCGTGTCACGGCAGTGCGGCTGCTGAATGACCGAAAGTGGGGGTAACTCATCTCCTCTGAACCACCCACGCAATCAATAGCAAGCCTTGCCGCTTCTACTGAATGGACTCTGCTCTCCACGGGCTCCGTTCCTCTCCGTCTGCCACAGGCCGGCTTCTATCCCCCTCTCGCCCTCACGCTATCGATTACTACGCCCTTGCCGTGCGATCCTGCGGGGAGCCGCTCTATCGACCCATCCACCTGTATTACACTTCATTCATAAATCTTTGCTGCTTTTCACTCGGGGATCGTCACGCTGTTTTTTTTTTTTTTTTTTCTCTCGATCGGTGCCGTGAAATACTGCTCGGTCTCTAATCGTCCTAGACACCAGTGTCGCGTATTCCACCTCTCCTCCGTTGATTTCTATTCTTAAGGTAGTTGTTTCGAGATAGTCACGTTCAAAAGAAAAACTTGATGGCTCGCAATTATTCCCTTTCGTCGGTGATTCACAGATTTTGAAAAAAGTAATAGCGAAAGATTAAAAATTAACGCACGTTTTAAACTGGAGAGAGGAATCTCGAACAGCGTAAATATAATAAAGAAACGGTCAATGTGAGTTAGTATTAGTTAACACAGTTTTAGGCAGCCTCTTTTCTACCAACTGTTAAAATCTTACGGTTTGGCTACGTTTTACTGTACAAAAATGATACTTCTTTTATTTGATTTATTTATAAAAAAAAAATAACATTTTTCGTTATTCAGGCATACATTTGTTTAGGAATTTTTGTGAAGTATCTTTAAATAATTTATGTTGTTCATTTTAGATATAAAGAAATCGATGTATTTTTACTATTTGAAGTTGAATTCAAGGCATTTTCAATCCCAAGTTTTCTATGAATGATTAAAAATATTAAAAATTTTATTCGATGTGTAATTAAGTAAAAACAAAAAAATTCGTGGTGAATTATTGGGTTGTCCAGAAAGTTCGTGCCAATTTTTAAGAAAAATTCAAAGGCACGTTTGAATTTTGATTCGTGTATTTATTGAATTATATAGATACGATTTTGTTCCACGACCTTTCCACCTTTTAAGGGATGCACCCAATTGTTTTCAACCATTCCAATATAAACAGACGTGTACCACCTACCAAAAATCGGCACGGACTTTCCAGACAAACTAATAGAAACTTGACATTAAAAACAAGCTTATAACTAAAAATTTGGTAATTTAAATGTCGTAATTACAAAGATATTCGAATAATTAAAATTTCATATACATTTGTTCCCGATTATACGGCCCACACATCCTTAATATACAAGATAGTTCCAAGCGGTTAGTCGAAAATCGCCAACTGGAAACTTTTGTTAAAGTAGAACCTTAGTACTCCCGTTTATAATACATAAATAGGTACACCAACACCAGACCTGGGGATATTTTAATTGAAATGAGAATAAGTGATAATGATTGAAAATAGTTTATTTCGGCCGTTATTTTCAAAACAGTTATTTGAAAATAAAAATAATATCGATTCATTTGAAATAATAGCTATTTCAAATAACGAATTACTTCGCTTCTTTTTCGTATTTCAAATTTAACGAAAGAAATAATCCCCAAAACAATATGCAGTAGAAACAATTTATTTAAAAAAAATCGTTACAGTAATTTGCGTTGAACAGTATTCTATCTTCAAAAAGTTCATTCGTAAGAAATTTTTGTCTGGGTCCATTTAATGTTGTCACAAAAGACAAATAACCGTTCCACTGATGGTGACGATAGATGAGAGGTGTTATAATTGAACCCTTTAAAACCCTTTAAAGCCCTTTAAAAACCGTGTTTCATAGTCGGATAATCGTTCAACATAAATAGGTCTACTAGTTTTATCTCGAAAAATTTCAATACATTTATTTCATCTCGAGTTTGAATGACAAACGTGGAATTGTTTGCTATTTAATCTTCATGGTTTTCAAATTCAAAATCGTCATATACTTGTGATTTCATCTCATACCACTATGAAGAACAGTATCACAATTATTTCAAGTAATTATTTTAAATGGTTGTGCACTAAAAGAACGTGTCAATTGAGATAATATCTCAAATAATATTATTTTAAAAGTGATTACAGCTATGAAGATAATTATGAAATAAAATAATATGTTATTTGAAATAATATTTTAAATAATAATATTTCATAAGTGTCCAGGTCCGATCTACATATACTATTCGTAATACTCGAGAAACGATTGTGGCAACAACGTTGACTGTTACCGCGCAATTTCTCTACCTTCTTTTTCAGATTTTAATGAATTATTTTTTTTTTAACGGTTTATAATATCAGTTTTATAGCATATCGAATTTTCAGCAAATTCCTAAATTGCATTTTTATTTAAATTGAACAAATTCACTATTTTACGTCAGACTCTTATGGAATATGAAAAAAATAAAAATGACAGTTATTGACCGTACCTTTACTGAGATATAATTCATTAAAATCTGAAACAGAACGTAGAGAAGTTGCGCAGTAACAGTCAACATTGCTGCCACAGTCATTCCTCGAGTATTACAAATACAGAGTGTCCCAAAAATGTTGTAACACCTTGAAAGGGGTGGTTTGGGAGGTGATTGGAAACTTTTTCCTTAGCGAAAATGTTGTCCGAGGCTTCGATAAGGAGATATTAACAGAAAACCCCGACCAATCAGAGCGCACGTATACCGTTGGAGCGACCGTGAAGGCTACGCGCCTAAATACCGATGAGTTCAACTAATAAATCCGGCAGGAAATGCAGAATATGTAGAAAAACCTTTGTATCAAGATCTGATTATACGAAACAGCATCTTTTTTACTATACTAATATTTTTACCTAAAAATAATAAACGCTTCCTTTCTATTTCTAAGAGGCCTGCTCCCAAAAATAAATCTCGGTGTATCTGTATAAGAAAGACAAGTATTGGCCGATTTGACCGTTTCCTATACAATTTCGTTTCAATTGAAATCCAGGTACTCCACACTAGGCTGACAAAGGGTTGCTTCGGTAAACACTTGTTCAACGTTGAATAGGAACGGAATGCTTGGAATATTCGGAATCTGTAGTACTCTGACCTCTGTTGGTATTCGATCACCGCAACCACTGCTTTAGGGAAGGTTCAAATCAATATCATCCACAAATAAATCTTAACTAAGACGACTAATTTTGTTGACACGATTTAACGGCTGTTCTCATCGTTTAATGTCTAAGATGCTTAGAGGTCGAACAACTTTTTGTAAGAACTAAACACGAGGATAATGAACATCTAGGGAGAGGCAGAAATTGATATACAAATTTTGTAAATAGTTAATAAATTTATTTATTACATTTCTGTTAAATACTGTACAATATTCCGTTAGTTTTAAATGCTTGAATACGTGTACGAATTAATATCTAGTAAACACTAGACGTCTACAAGTTACTGTTAGCTACAAATAGCGAGACATGTTTTAAACTTCGTGTAGATTTTAGATTATTCATCTCCTAACTACGTTCACACGGTCACTTATAAGAACTTAATTCATGTGTTATCGAACATTGTAATGTCATTATAAAATATGTATGTACGTGATACTGTAAGTAAATATAACATCCGGCACGCTTACGCTATATTTATTTATGATACTGAAGCTTAGTATAACTAAAGCAAAATTCTATGAATGTAGAAATATCGTAGAACATTGATACGGAACACTGCATACCTCGCATTTAAATCGGGGACTTTTTGTTTAAAAATTACACTTTTGATTTTAATATATCAATTAATTAATCGTGAACTATACTGAACTCAATATGCTACGATATGCAATGTCGCGTTCAATTAAACTCGTTATTCGATAACATTTAAGAAATCTATGTTCACGCTGGAACTTTTATCTTATGATGTTAAAATAATTAACTATAATGCACGAGAATTGTACGTAGTACGTCGTATTTAACGTTCACGTTAGTGGAACACCAATATTACAATTTGTATGACGTGTATCGAGTGTACTTTAAAAGAGACATAAAAAAGATGATTTGTATAATAGCTTGGTCCTTAACCACTGGTAGAAGATCATCTTTCACTGCTCCAGTAACTTTTACCGATAACCTCTAGAAACAAATATATAGTTCTTTTTATACCATATAAAGTTTGAAGATTTATCGTTATATAACCAATTGTTAACTAGAATTCGGACAAAGGAAGTCGTTTTACCTGCGCACCATGACCGAACATTTCCTTCAAGCAACGTCAGTCTTTGTGAAATCAAAAATAATAAATGAGGGATATAATACTTTAACAAAAAAATTAATGTAATTTAATAAAACACTCTAAACAAAGATAGGCGACCCCGCCCCCATGACTTTGACCTTGACATATGTTGTCAAGGGCCCCCTCCTGAGTAACTTTTTCTAATAACTTAACCGTCGCTCACTGGTTATTAAAAAGTTATTAACAAAAAGAATTGGTAAGTTAGGTCAGGTTATACATACGAACACGCTATATATAGCATGTAAAAACACACTACCAACGGTTCAAACTTGTTACGAGAGTTTGTATCATGCACGATCTTTACTCGTACAGTAAAAAAATGAGGGGTGTTTATAGTTTCGGCATATGGGTATGCGAGCACAAACGAGCGTAATAGTTCAGCGTAGCTGTGAATCGCAAAGTGTTCATACCATGATTCTTTCGTTTACTGGTTATCAATAGAAGTTATAATTGCTCACATGAACAACACAAAAATTGGAAGGAGCGGGTTTCAGATGCAATTCAAATTATAGTCTACATTCGTATTAATGTTGTTAGAGTTTATCAAGATTTCTAAAGATTTCTGTTTTTTTCTTCTTTTTTCCAGAAGAATATTATTTGAATTTTACTATTAATTTCGTATTATCAATTTGGTGGTCTATAGTTACCTGATTTTGTTTGCTATGGTTGATTGTATATAGCCCATATTTTGAGGTTTTAACCATTTATAACTTCAGTTTATGTCTCCCGGATTGATACTTAGAAACGGATTGCGGATTCAAAATGCTCCTTTTCAAATTCTCAATTTGAACTACAGCTTATTTTAAACAATCACGGTAAATAAAATGACTTCCCTTGTGTAAAGGCGAGTACAAATATCTTCGTACGACATACAAGACCTTTACTATTTAACAAGTTATAAGTCTATTTTGATGATAAGCGTGTTAAGATAGTACAAACGTACCATTACTTACCTGTACGATTGCTAACAGGGCTACGACTTCGAGAATAACTCCGACTGTAGCTTCTGCGATTTCCGCGACCATTGTGTTCCCTACTATGACTTCGACTTCTGCTTCTTGAGTAACTACGATCCTTTCCGTTACGGCCACCGCGAGACCGCCATCGATTTCTTCCACCTAAAGTTGTTTAGATTCCCAATTTTACAATAAATACTTCTTGATACTAATTCATACTACCGTATGGAACTCAAGATGTTTATTATGACTGAAAGTAGGCTTTGTATATAAAAAGAAATACATAGATACCTCTGTGCCTCCCATATCCACCACTTTTACTGTCAGCAAGCTCCAGTAATTTTGGGTTTATAACTTGATTCGCTTCTTTTAATACCTGGATTAGGTCATTAGCCTTATTAGAATTATTCGGTGTAAAAAAGGTGTATGCTGTACCAGTTTTTTGCCGACGACCTGTTCGACCAATTCGATGAACGTAATCTTCCGAACAGGAAGGATAGTCAAAATTGATGACAAACTTGACGTCTTCAACGTCTGAAATAAAGCATACATATTATCTGTTAATTTTTGGAAGTATCCGTCTCAAGGACAGACAATGGTTAAGATAGTAGTATGGCAAGGTGTATATAAAATATTGTATTAAATATCAATCACGTATTTTAAATTAAATGTTTGTGTTAATACGCTCTCCAAAAGGTACCGCTATAAGGACTTCCCTATGAGTCTATTCAGCTAGAATAGTTCGTAACGTGTTCAAAAGAATATACATGGTTTAAACAGATTATAACATAAAAAGTATTAAATTCTATTAAGAATTTAACATTACCTATGATATTAAACTAAAAGCATAAAGTTTAAAAACAAAAAAAAAAAAAGAATCTATTTCTTTAGAGAGCGTTTTGATAAAAGTATAAGGCTCTGAAATAAAGAGAAATTTTCCGCGTTTAGACAATCCTGGTTCCCTTTTCTAATTGAAAATGTTAATATATTAACAATATTTTTTGTTTAAGTAGTTTCACTATTTTTTTGACAAAATTAGCTTAACCTGCCTTCAAAAAGACGTAAAGCATATGTATATAAAATTAATCATTGGCCGTTTTATTATGATAGATGCTATATGCCTTAATAAATAATGAAAAAGATAATAAAAAGTAACATTTTAAAGAAAATGAAACCAGAATTGATGTACATAAAACCTTATTTGATATAGTAGTTAGTATGGTGTGAATATCTATTAATACAGTTATCATAAAGGATGTGAAAGGATAAAGGAAATGTAAATTCAAGTGGAGTCAAAAGTGATACATGTGTACGTGTGTAGAAATATACACATACATACACATATAGTGTCTCATAAAATATGGTCTGCCTAAAACGTTAAAAATCCTTGAGTTAAAAACAAGAGAATTCTTGGTAATTTTGGATGACCATTAATCAAAAACTTTATAAATTTTTGGTGAACAAAGTTACAAACCCTCTGTATATATAAAAGATAGAGTAAAATCCAAAACATGTATCTGAGAATTGTACCATACAATGAAAAGTTGATAAATAATGATCACATGACAGTATCAAGAATCAATTTATTCTTGACTAAGGAATTTCTCACATCCTTTGGTATGCCACATCCTATGAGATACCTTGCTATATATGTTTATATAAAAATGTGTATATACAGAGTCTCCTAGAAAAATGCATTAGAACTATACACATTTTCTTTAAATCTAAGATGTTTTTTGATTAGATCAAATGTTGCGTAATTCTTAATGCTGAAGATGTTTAGTTAAAACTTCTACAGTAACAAGTCGATTCTGAATTCCACTATTTATCCAAGGAGGATACTCATAATTGTTTTAGTATAAAATATATTCATGTTATTGCTAAAATCTTAACATACGTATCTTCTGAAGCAATGATTACACAACATTAAATACTGACAAACATTTTTGCTTAACCAATAATCATCTTAGATCTTGGCGAGGAACAATGTTATACAGTTGTGTCTGTTTTCTGAGTGACTCCGAGTATGTGTATATATATACGTGTATATACATATAACTATATATATACATATACATATATACATATATATAGCAATTAATTTAAGATTACTTTTATACTAAAATTAGGCAGTGGGTGAGTGTCGCTAGCAACGTACGGGCAGGGCCTGGCTGTTTGCGCTCGCTCCAGCTACAGCCTCCGCCATTCTGTTGCTACAGGGCACACTAGAGGCTCGGGCATCAGCTACCATGCCACCGCCTCATTGGACCGTTGTTGGGTCTGATTAGCTTGAGCGGCCAGCGCAGGGGATTCTATTCTGGCAACAACTTGGCCAGCCCAGATGGCGTACAGCGTAGCGTAGAACTGATATCCAGTATGTAGGAGGTAAAGTAGATCCCGATTTGGCCCGGACTGGCCCTTCACGGAATTGACGTATAGAGGCACGCGTCGCAGCCAGCGCAGACAATGCAAACCAGTGCACCACCGAACAAACAGGCGGCGGGCACCCCCAATTTGCTTTGCATTACCCGGCGTGGGCCTGCGCGCAATGTGCCTCTGCAATACAAACAAAGATCCAACCGCGTTAGGTATATGTTTACCTCATTATCTCCTGTGTTCAATATGAATTTTGTATTACAGTTTTTTTTTTTTGCTTTTGCTTTTCTGAACTGTCTAGCTGATTTTTGACAACCTCGCGAGGCTGTGTTCATGGTAAAAAATACGTTTAAAGAACCTCTTATTATCTTATAAGTTTCGGCAAGCGTATAATATTTAACCAGTTGAATCTTGAATTTAAGCTGTACCGTTTACACCAGAACTTTCACGATCGTAACTACGAATATATATATAAATATTTGCTTTTTCAATTGAAAAAATGATAAAAAAAAACTAACACCGAATACTCATAAAGCAATTCTTTTTAGTATCTGTGAAATTTAATTTAAAGTTTTATTTAAATGAATTTTCGAACTTTTATAAATTAATAACCATAGTGCTTGCCGATCACACGTAATATAAGCTTAAATTCATTTGTATGATTTTTATTTTAATATATCGTTTAAAGTTAATACCTTTAGTAAAAAGTGAGAAAGCAAATAAACACAAATATTAGAAATGTTAAATGAACCACGTTATGCATTTAGAAAATTGCATATCTTTAATTTGAATGTAACACAAAAAATTGTTTACTTTAGCAAAGCAAACTTTTTACAGGTACAATCTAAGTTGATTAACCTTGGAACTCTGAAAGATGTTACACAAGATTAATAGACTAGTTTATTATATGCTTGTGCTGCTGCTATTCAGTAAATATAGTAATTAAGAATATTAAAAAGTAGACAGTTCTGAATGTTATATACTCGAAACATGAGTATATATATATACTTTGCAGTAGGTTATCTGTTTACTTCCTTTAAATTAATTATGTATACCCTTTTGGCACATAAAGTGGTCCAAGTCTAAATCAATGCATACACAATGAAATCCTGTTCTGATTGAATATATATGTGACCTGTTTCAACGTCCTACAAGAGGAATTTATTAGTAAGTAATAACTGTATGAAAACAATACAGACTAGTTATAAAATATATTTTGATTAACGAATAATTAGGTTTAATTATTGTTTCCATAATCATACACTTTGGTAGAACAAGATGTCTTGTATATTGCAGTAATTATTAAGCTCAAATAAGTTTTGTAGAAATAATGTGATTTAGAGTGGTTCATTCTCCATACTAAAGGAAAATGATCAGTGATGCTTAGTCTTATATGTTTATTATATTATAGTTACAATCTGTTACTTACCAAGGCCACGGGCAGCAACATCTGTTGCAACAAGAATTGGCGCTTTTCCTGATCTAAAATCTAAAAATTAATATTATCTTTCACTTATCAAATATGGCAAACTATAAAGCCAAAATCAATTTATAATGAATAATATTTACCTTGTAAAACCCAATCCCTTTCTTGCTGTGTCTTGTCACCATGTATACAAACAGCTGGCCAACCATCTCTCTTCATTTTTCTAGTTATTTCATCTACTCTGCGTTTTGTTTCAATAAATACTATTGTTTTGTTTTCGCTTTCTGCCATTATTTCTTTTAAAAGTGTACTTAATCTATAAATGCAAGTAAAAATAATTTGTAAATATAGAATTTTGTGGAGGCTTTATAAATAAGATACCGAATACATTTCTTTCTACAAAAATAACAATTTTATTTCTCAAAGCAAATTGATTACTTACTTATTTTCTTTTTCATAATCCTGACACACGTCGATGATTTGTAATATATTATGATTTGCAGCTAATTGTAGAGATCCAACATTAATTTGAGCATAATCCTTTAAAAAATCTTCAGCTAAATTTTTTACTTCTTTAGGCCATGTGGCAGACCACATTAATGTCTGTCTGTCAGGCCTAATTTGCTCAATAATTTTCCTAATTTGAGGTTCAAATCCCATATCTAACATTCTGTCTGCTTCATCTAGTACTAAATAGGTACACCTTTTCAAATTTGTACGACCTGATTCAAGGAAATCTAATAATCTACCAGGTGTAGCTATAACTATCTCTACACCTCCATCTAAATCTCTGGCTTGTGCACCTTTTGGTGCTCCACCATACAGACAAGTATTCCTAATGCCTGAAGAATGACCAAAATCATCAGCAACTTGCTGAATTTGTTGTGCGAGCTCTCGAGTAGGAGCTAATACTAATGCAATAGGACCATCTTTACGACCCAATTTGGGTTGACTGTTAATATGAACAATTGCAGGTAATATATAAGATAGTGTTTTTCCAGAACCAGTTGATGCAATTCCAACCATGTCTCTTCCACTTAATGCAATTGGCCAACCTTGTGCCTGTATTGATGTAGGTTCTGTAAAACCTTGTCGTCTGAAAATTATGAGCAACAGAATTTGCTTTTAATTCATACTAATTGGCTGCAAAATTGATTAAACTACTATTGAATAATAACAATCTGTATAAAATGTATTAGAGACTTATTGTCTCAAAATATTAACAATAATTTGTTTTTTATTTTATAAAAAAAACACTTAAATTGCAAATTGTATTTTGGGAGTTAGAAAAATTTTGCAACTTGTTTATATGAACTTCACAAAATAAATAAAGAAAACAATAAGTAATGTACTTAAAAATAGCATAAACAAATTTTCTAAACTATGTATTTTTTAAACTTCATATTGCTTTTAATTTACATGTGAAATATATGATACTAAAGGACACCCAGAATTTTTATATTAAATAAATAAATCGGAATGCGAACACAATTTTTCTTCATTCTTTCTTGATTTGATGAAAATTAATTTTCTAGGATAAAGAAATTTTAAATTGCGATACTATTGTTGATAATGTGCAGTCATCAAATACTGGATACATATTCTGGGTTCAAGAAATAAATTCTGGCATCATTATTGTAAAATAATAGCACTTTGGAACTGGTTCAGCAAATCCTTTCATTGTGTCACTGACTCAAGACTAGACAGTGATACAATGGAAGGATAGGAATAAAATGTGAATACTCTTCTCTCCCCTCAAAGCTTGAAACTCGGGTGTGCTTAGATTGGAGCAGAGAGGACAGCATAAACAGTGAAAATAAGTGAAATACTTATAATATTTGACTTCATAATATTTCACTAAAACAAGTAGTTCCAAGAACTGGTAAGAATAACTTTATGATATAATAATAGGAGAAAATCAGTAGCATAATGAAAGAATTTACTGTGTACTTAGTGTATTTGTATATAGAAGTTATTACTTAAAAAATACTTACTTAATTTCCTTAAGAACATAGTCAGGAAATCCTGTTTCTTCAAATGTAAATACAGGATTAGGTATATTTTTTCCTTTGAGAGTAATTTCTTTCTCACTTCTATATTGTTCCACTATACGTGGATCACGATTTTGAACTGTTTCATGTGGAATATAAAAATCTTTTTTAAAAGGCTCTAATCGACTGAGATCCCATCGAGGTTTTCTCAAATTTGCTCCAGGTTGCCCACGACTATTCCTGCCACCTCCTCGATCCCGACCCCCACTACCACCCCAACTTCTTCTATCTCGTGGTGATCTGCTACGAGATCGTGTGCGAGATCTACGTCTCCTATCTCTATCACGACTACGACTAAAATAAATTATACCACAATATAATAATTATCATTTAAATCTGTATTTTATTTTTGTAATATAATACATTTCTTTCCAAAATATCATAAGTACTTTTATTATCGTATTCTAAATGTACATATAACTCTTGAAAATATTAATAAAATCTATGGTGATCTCAGTTAAATACATCAATTATATAAAATTGCAATACTGTTTCTAAATGAAATGTAACAACATTTATTGGTTGAATTACGTTTTCTATTTTATGAAATGTCTTCGAAAATTACCACTGAGCTTGGATCAAGGTAATATGGAAGGTTATGTGAAATCAGCCATCGAAGGAAGAGCAAAAGTTTCTTGAGATCATTCCGTTTAACTATTTTTTATCTTTACGTGATTTTTTGTATTTTATTACAGATACAAATGGAAATGGGAATTTAATAGAAATCGTTCTAAATATATGGTTTTAATGCCGAACATTTTGGACATATTGATACATATACCCTCGCGCATCTATATCACACACGACTTACCTCCTATAGCGACCCATATTCAATTTCTCTTCAGTTTCACTCTTCTTTTACTACGAACTTTACTACTAATAATAATTACTTGAACACAAAAAAAACCGCGAGTTAGAACGTAACTTGTAATACTAAAATCCAATCAAAAGACGCAAATGAAAGCGGCTCCTATGCCACAAACGACACAATTACAAGAAGGAACGAAGGTATCATAAAATTGTTAACGCATGCGCAGCGAGTAATAAAAATAACATTCTTGATATATATACATATATATATATATATATACTTTCGCTAAAAAATGTAATACGATTTGGATACAAAATTACTAGATATTATAAGCTTTGTGAACGTTTACAAGTTCTAAATGAATTTCGACACATGACTGTTTACATCAAATATTCATTTGTAATACGATGCTTTCTTTCCAGGAAATATACGTTTGGAATACAAATATTAAATTTTTAAGCAATGTCCTATATATAATTCTTTACTTAGTTTACTTCTTAGTTTTATTTTTAAGTTGATTTTTTGAAAAAGGTAGTATCGTCTTTTGACATTTAGATAGTTTCTTATATGATATGTATATAGGAAAAAGGTGGGTTGTGTTTCCAGGTAGTAGTGATTATATTTGGATTCGTTACGAAAGCATACAGTCTTTGATACGAGTTAATAATATATTTTATAGAAGTATTCCGATATTTGAAGTTTGAATATGAAGAACTTGCGAGAATCGACTGTATTCGTAGCCCCCTGGTGGTGACTTTAAGAAACGTTATCGCAACTCATTACGAGGGTTTCGTAGACGGACGCTTGTCAAGTTGTCATAAACCGCAGTTGCTCGTGAACCATCGAAGAGCAAGGGAGGGTTAGGTTTATTCTGTACATTGTTATCCTTGTGCATTAACGTTTCGGGCACAATTAAAACCACGTTCTTCGTTTACACATTCCATCACAACAATGCACGTTATTAATTTATTTTGTTTTTGTTTTTCTTTTTATGCTTCGAAAAGACATTAATTTAGTTTCTTCTTTCGCTTCAAAACGATTCGTGTAAATGATCGTGTTTTAAGAACATATTAAACAAAAATACTCGGTTTCTACGAAAGAAATTGTTCGCATCGTTCTCACGAGTGACTTGACATTTTGGACCATGTGTTACGATGAAAGAAGAGTCGTATAAAGTGAAAAGTCCCGCAAAACGTCCTTTCAGTAGAAACTAAAAATTGTAAGCTTGAAAGTGTGTAAAATCCTTGAATGGCGAATGTGTAGTGAGAGACAAATATGCATGATCTAATAAGAGGAAATAAGGAGGTGGCCGCGCGTGGAATGTGATGAGAAATCACGAAGACGTCAACGACTAACTTTCAGGATCATCGGCTGCTGTCGCTGCTACAAGTTGTAGCCTATAACTTCCTTTTTTGTCATGTGACAGCCGAGACACGATGAAGGACGGGATGATTACCACGCGGGCTGATGTTTACGCAGAAGAAATGCCCGGCACGTCTGACAGGTAAGCCAGAATCATTAAAGTCGATCGATTTATGTTACTCTTAGAAAAAATAGTAAAGCATTCAAAATAAACGTTCAGCCAGGGCCGGCGTGACCTTTTGCGGGGCCGGGTTCAAAAATGTTGCGGGGCCTGAATACACATTCAAATCCTACGCTTAAATTTTACAACGAGGAATTATTTATTTACAAATGCTATATATTTTTTATAAGATGAATATTAAATAATAATACTTTGATGATTGTTGTCACCCCTTTCAATTTAATCATCGCTACTAAAAAAATGTCTTGCATCTCAGCAAAAATTGCTTCCATTTGTTAATGGTATCATCAGTCTGTAAAAAGTTAATCAAAATCGGTACCTTTTAATTGAGTAATTTTCGTAGACCGCGGGGCCTTTTAAAACGCGGGGCCGGGTTCCGGCGAACGCGCTGAACCTGCCTTGCGCCGGCCCTGCGTTCAGCAATAATATTGTAAACATCGTGTATATCAGGTTGTCCCAAAAGTTTCTTCCGTGACTTGCGCTCAGTTATTTTGTGTGCTAATGTTTACATAAATAGACAACCTGATTTCTTAGATGTTAATATTGTAACAGCAGTGGAGCAAAATGAATCGTAAGCAATTCAATAACGTAACAATAGACATAAAATATAGCGAATGCATTACTTATTAATGAAATGGAAGAAACTTTTGGGACAACCTAATACATTTTCGTCTATCGTACTGTTAGCGATTGAAAATAGCGCACGAAAGAAAACAAAATTCTCGTACATTTCAAAATCAACTTTTGACAGTATAAAAAATTTGAAAATGATCCAGAAGTGAAGATATATATATATATATATATATATATATATATATATATATATAAAATATTTATCCCATTTTATCCCATATATATTTCTTTAAATTTATAGTTTACGATTTCAACTAGCGTTTACCATTAAAGTGAGTTATTGAAATCTGCGTGGAAATCAGTGTTTGATATCGCGCTCTATCGAATTTTAATATCTTGTGTCAGACGCTTTGAGGTATCGTGTAACTTCCATGAAGGTAAAGAAGTATGTAATTTAATATATCATCTTTGAAGGTAAACGAAATGAATATGTACCTGCACCGAGTAAATACGCCATTCTGCAGTGGTATTCTAAATTTAATATAAATTATTTATGCTTGTATTTTAAATTACAAGCATATTTTTTATATTTTTTTCTCTAGGGTATCTGTCTTGTGGAGGTACCTACGGAATATTAATTGAGTCGATAGAGATTGAGTCGATATTCGTTGTATTTGCAAAGAAAATATGCCTTTTACGTAAATGATAAATAAATTGATAAATCACGTTCACCTTTGAAATACATTCGTCTTTACGGATTTTGGATAATAAAAGTTCATTAAGAAAACATCGTGAAACATTGAAATTACAAGCGAATAAAATTTATTCGTAATTTCTCAAATATATTTTGTTATATTAATATTCACACAGGTTGCTTTTACCAATGCATAATTTCTATTCCAAACTGACGCATACAAACTTAATTATTTGAAAGATTATATTTAATAAATAATAATAAATATTTCAACCCCGATAATTTTATCGTTTGTGCACGTTTGTATTATAAATCTACAAAAGTTTATATATATATTCGTAATTCGTTTAGAAAGACTTTTCGGAAGGTATTGGCGCGGTAGGTTTTATTTTTTTTGTTCCATGTCCATACTGCTTTAAAACCGGTTTCATGTTAGGTGGGTTATGTGTGTATTAAAGGATGGAGTAAGTCAAACTGAGAAGAAGTGACGTGCACTTCGATGAAGTCTAAACTTACCATCCATAAAAACATCGATATTAGGCGCAACGATACCGTATTTATAAACAGACGAGTAATTAATCTATTATCGTTTGCGCGTATAAAGTCCGAGTCACATGCTACTCCTGAATAATTTTGTTTCCTTATAAAATTCATTATTGCATATATTCATTAAATGTTAAAAATTCTGTAAATATTTTGTTGAAACTATAATCAATTGTTAATGGAAAGCTGTATAACCATATACTGAGAGAAAAGAGAGTACATTGACGATAGTAAAAATACATCCGGTCCTCAATATATTAAGCAATGGGAAGGTTATACGTCAACAAGAAGAAGGGTGCATCGGTTAAGCCCAATATGCATTCATATCGTAAAGCAAATAGTTTTAATCATTAAATTCCATTGATAGAGTATTATGTTACGTAAACTGGCAATACTTTGATAACATCGTTAGCTAATTTATATGAAACTTAGTATTTTATTATTTTAATAATTAGTAGATCATTAATAATCATAAGTTTCGCTTTTTCTAATAATGACGTTTTAATTTGTTAAAAATTAATTTGTGGATGCTTTGAGTGAACTTTTGAAAGGGTGCAAATTAGTTTTCATTGTTTGTGCGAAAAATAAAGCTACAACGATCGACGTTACGTATAACTATAATCATCATTCTTTTTCATTTTAAGAGTACGTACACTTCGCGATACAAATCGTGTATGTGTCTTATATATGCTCGAGTACCCTATGCTGGACAACTTTGTTTGATAAACCAATTATCTTTCTATTACATAATGACTGCTTTATTGTCTGTTCCTTATGTCCGCAGCACAATGCATTCGCTACTTTCACAATTCTTACTTCCGAGATAAGCGTACGTGCTTCAAAAGTTTTGAATATGATTTTCGAAACTGTTTGGATACCTCATATACAGTAGGAGCAGAATGTATTCGTACACCGATTAATTTCCTAAAAAACTTTTGTGTGAAATTGTAGTTTGTTAATTATTTTTTTTTTAAATCAATGCTATTTTACATATTCTCGGAAGTCTCTAAGATAGATATAGTCCAAACAACATTTACTAGTTAATATAATTTGTGAAATTAACGAAAAAATGCGAAAAGTGGGTAAAAGTATAAAAGCAATAAGTATTTGTACGATTCTTATGACGAACCATTTATAATAGAGTTTGTAACGTAAACACATTAGTTTATTGCTCCGTACCAATTAGAAAACATCAAATTTCCAGTAAAGTACTTTTAAAAAAGGTTCTAATAGAGGAATGGAAAAAGATCCCACTTCGAATAACTAATAATTTATTTAATTTAGTGCTTAGAAAAGTTACAATAATTATAAAATCAAAAGGAAATCCTACGAAGGAAGTATTATATACTTGTAAATTAATGTAAATTTCTTTTTTTTTTAAAGAAGTTTTAAAAATTAAACAGTTGTACGAATACTTATTGCTTCAACATTTCTATCGATTAATTCCTTTTTCTTGTTAATTTCGCAACTCACATAAATAGCTATTTTTATATCTAATTATAATATCTAAAATAAGTTAATAAATTACAATTTTACATAGCCTTTTTAGAAATTGATCGGCGTACGAATACTTTCTACATCCACTGTACGTGTTTGAAAAGTTTTGGATATGGTTTTCGAAACTGTTTGGATACCTCATGTACATACATATATAACATGATAAAACTGTAATTATAGTTGATAAAATTTCATAACACGAAACTCTATCGTTATCAATAGTTTTACTTTCATGGAACATTGGGAAATAGACTCGAAGAATAACGTTGCTTGTAAAATTACTAAAGATATTTGTTACGATATCATTTGACCGGTGACCGCTGTTC